TTCATTCTCGTGTTACTCGCCATTCAATTAAGTCTCATCCTTTTTCTGTGACTGCTCCTAAGTGCTTCAAAAACTCTTATTCTTCTAGTTTTTTTCCTCGAACATCAGTTCTTTGGAATTCGCTTCCTTCATCTTGCTTTCCTGATTCATATAATTTGCAATCTTTTAAGTCATTAGTCAATCGTCATCTTGCTCTACAGATTTAGTCTTTTCTCTTCCAGTAACTTCCAACTCTTATAGTGGTTGCTTGCAGCCTTGTTGGAAGTGAATATGTTAAAAAAAAAAAAAAAAAAATCTACTCATATTTTTTTTTTTTAAACAAAATTAAAACAGACAAACAAAAAGAAACAAGAAGAATATATATAAGAAAGATATATGTATATATATACACATACACACATACATATACATATACACATATACATATATACATATACACATACACACACACACACACATATATATATATATATATATATATATATATATATATATATATATATATATATATCACACATATATATATATATACATATACACATATACACATATACATACACACATACATACACACACATACATATATAAATATATATATATATATATACATACACACGCAAAATACATATATATATATATATATATTTATATATATATATATACATATATTTTAATTAAAAAATGAAAGAATGTACGTATTGTTTAAATTAAGTAAGTGTTTTTTTATAGCTCTTTTAAATATATCAATAGATTTTATTTTTTTCATATTTTCGTCAAAAACCGAGTTCCACAAGCGTGGTCCCCGACATGTAATTGAGAAGTCAGACTTTTTGAGTAATGTTAGTGGGATGTAGTAATTATTTATTGAGTGTCTTGTTTTATATTTATGATTAATAAGAGAGAAGTTTTTATAAAAATATTTTGGAACTAATTCGTTTTGAAGTTTAAACATAAATAACAAGTTATGGTAGATGTTTAATTTGTATACATTTAGGGCATTTATTTCCTTGAGTAACGGCTCTGCACTTTCGTATCTAGTCATGCCCGAAACTAATCGACTTGCTTACTTTTCTTTTGTGTACATTTTTTTTAGGAAAGATGAGTGATTGTTTGCCCAGGCAATATTACAATAGTTAATATGACTATGTATAAACGAAAAATATAAATTTTTTAAACATATTTTGTTCAAAAGAGGTTTAGTCTTATACATTATCCCTAAAGTCTTTGACATCTAAAATGGCTGCAGACTTTATAACATTATTATAACAATAGGTTACTACAACAATGTTAAGATAACATTGATAAATAAAATAGTACTTTAACTGATTACTTTAATTCAAAAAAAGATTAATGATTGTCGTTGCATTCGTTATAATGGTCGTATATCAGTCTTTTAGATGTGGAAAAGTGCTGGTTTGCTGGTAAAAGCATAACCGGTTTAACACCATTAACTCTACAACTCACTTTGTTGCAAATTGAACGAACATCAAGACAATTAGGACATTGCTTTATGACAAAAGCTTGACATTTCCTTTGTTTGCAAAAATATTCAACTTTACATTTAATAAATTTTTCTCTAGCTTCTTCTTTCTTTTTTTTGGCTTCCTCCTTTGTTGTTATCTTTCGTTGCTTCTCTTCTTTTATATCTTTTACTTTTGCTGCAATATCTTTTGAACGCATTGAACTATAGACCTGAGTAACACGATTAGATATTTTTTCAAGGTTTGGTTTGATTTTCTTAATAGTTAGCAGATCAGGAATATTTTTTAATTGGAGGCTTTGCTCAGCCATTTCTCTAATCAAGATTTGAGACTGGTCAAACTTATCTTTTCAGTAACTTGCTAAACCTTTTCTTTAACCAACTGGTGACGAAATGGTTGATTCAGGTTTTTTAAAAGAAGTTGACGCTGGTCCTTCTTTATAAATGCATGCAGCAGCTTTCTCATATTTATCTTGTTGCATAAAGTTAACATTTAATTCAAAAGATGTTATTCCAACTCTTTTTGTACAAGAAACAAGAACCGGTTTCGATGCCTATTTCTCCCATATGTTGCCTAAGATGGTCATAAATTCCTTATGACTAATTGATTGCATTGGGTTGAAAAGATATTTCTTGGCAATTCTGTACTCACGATGAAGATTTTTATTAACCTAGTCAAGCAACTGAGTTACACCTGTAGTGTCGTGAGGAGAAATAAATAACCTAATTTGTTTTAAAAGGAGGTATATGAAACCAACTGAATCGTGAACTATGTCCGTCAGATGAAAAAACAACAGGTCGTTCTACTGCCTTCTCAGTAAGGTAATCATCAAATTCTTGGCACTACCTTTTCTAATTGTAAATTCTTTGCATCTGTGAAATTTCTCCCAATTGATGCCTCAGGCTTACTTTTTCCACGAATAGATTTGATTAAAAAAATCTTCAAACAATTTAGAGTAAATTAGTCGCTTACAGAACATATCTGAATAAAAAACAATTTTCAAATAAAAATTTAGATTTTACTCTAGGATCAAACACAAAGTAAGTTTTAATAAACTCTTGCAATTACTATGTTCTAAAAATGTTATTGATTTTTGATACGCAAAAAATACGATGCAAACTTTGTTTAAAACACTGCAATGACATCTTTAGAATCAAGAGGTTATATAGAATCAATATATTAAAAAGTGAGAACACATGTATAGCCTATAAAATGCTATTTTAAAAACATCAATGTTGTTTTTGGGGTACCTGTCTTGTGGTTTTTGTGGTGCATCGGGTATTTTCTCCAAGATTAAGTTAGCAGTAACTGGTTTAAAGCAGATCAAATAATATTTGGACATGCCAAATTTTAGCTTCATATCTTCACTTGTTGCAGAGATACAATCGATAAATTGAATGCGGTTTTTAGGGTACACATACAAAAAACAACAAAAGTTCAGTTAACAATAACAACAAAACTATTTCTTAAAAATTAATTAAACTAGCTGGGAAGAACTGATTTTAAGTAAATCTAAAAACATTCAAAGCAGTTTTCCTCAAAAGCAAATAATAAAAAAGTTATTGAGATGTACTTTTGATTGGTGTTTTTGCGGTACGTGTACCTGTAACGATCATATAGTTTAATAACTTAATTAACTTACTTAAGGCTTTCTTTTAAATTTAATTTACGGAAAGTTATGCTAATTTATTTCATAAATTTGTGTATAAATTTGTGTTGCTCATTAGTTCAGTGTCTCTTCTGCCTTCTTTCTCCTTACAGCCATAAAATATGCAAAATTAATAAGTTTCAAATAAGACTTATTTTAAAGTTTTTCCTTAAGGACAAATCATCAAGTAAATTTGAGACTCATAAAAATTTTAATTTTGAAAGTTTATTATTACTTATTTTTTCTTCTTTCTGGTTATTGAGATAATTAAGAAATCCTTACTGAAACAAGTCACTTTTCATAATTTTCCATGTAATTGTATTTAACAAGATTACAGACCCAAAACTCCCATAAAATTTGTAGTTTTAACTATAAATAGTATGTGATATATTATCTTTAAAGGGAATTTGTATCAAAGTTTGTTTGATAACCTGTTAAGTGTTAAGATTTTTTACAAAGGAAACAAAAACTGAATTGTTACTACATAAATACACTTGGGTTTTGGAGGTACGTCAGCAAAACAATTCAAATTAATTACTCACTTTTCTCACCTTTTTTTTGGAAAACTTATTTTCTAAATCATTCATAAACTGAAGATGATTTCAGTTTTAGACAATAATGACAAGTATGATAGACATTCTTGTCAGCCTGATAGCTAATTTCATTTCTCTTCCAAAGAATTCCTTAGATGCTTTTTATCAGTTTTTGTTGCCTCCAAAAAACTAGATACAAAACAATTGAACTTTAATAGCTCCGCCGTCAGTTTCCGTAATGTTTTGGATTGTTTTCCCAATTTTATGATTCAATGAACGTTTTGAATTTCAGATTTTAAACATTTAGACATAGATAGGTTAAAGGTATACGTTTTTTTTATTTTGTTTGAAAAAAAAAAGAATTTCACTATTTGTAAAACTTTGGACATATTACCTAGATTAGAGAGGCTCTGAACTCATCGGGTTTTTTTTTCTCCAGAAATTCTCACATCTGATAAACCATTAAAAAAAGAGTGATTTATCACTCTTTTTTTTTTACCAAATGATTTTTCAATATTTTCATGCGGTAAATTTTCAGAAATAGGGTTAATAATTTCAATTAGTAAAGATAAAAATTCGTCATTACATACACTCGTCACGTTTATCTTTTTATGTGGAGGTTTAATTTAGTTGGTACAAAGTTTTCATTATTAACGAATAATTTTTCCTTACAGCTAATAAGGCGTCGTTTCTTGAAAGCCGTCTTGTAAGACACACATTTTAAAATATAAAAATCTTTTTTAAAATAACACAAAATTTGATATTTTACAAAACATCAAATTTTTTGCATTCTTGCTTTTAAACATTTTAACTATAAATTCAGAACAAAATGTATAGTAGATATTAAAACTAATTAGACCGTTTTAAGTTTAACATATTTTTTAGAGGAGTTTTTATTCAACTTCGACAAACGTTTTTTACTAGTAAATAATATAAGAATATATTTTTTCGATATTAATGAAAAAAGTTAACAGCCAAACGATGCGTATATGGCGTGTGTGCATGTGTGAGTATGAGCGTGTGTGCGTGTACGTGTGTGTAATTCATGTTTATGAGCACAAAACGAACGAATACTATAAGATTTTAAAAACTATGATTTATAGACTATATATGTATAGACTTATTTATACTGTGTATGCATATGATTTTATATCTTATATATTTATTATAAATCTATAAGATTTTTAAATACTTTTAAAATAATAAAATATACTAAAACTGTGTTACATTTTAACTTTTTTCCTAAATCCTCTATTATTTTTTTAAATTTCCAAAACCACAATAGTTTAAAAATAAAAATTAAAAATATCACAACAATTAATATATTACTTATACTAGATATTGCGGTTATTGTCCACAACTGAAATATAAAATCACAGAAACTATTGGCAAAACAACACACAAATTACTCACTGAAAAAGGTTGTAAATCAAAACAACCAGTACTGGTCCCTTTAAAAGAAACAAATTTTGAAAGTACTAAAGATGCAATCAAACTTGATTTGCTCGGTAAAAGAGAGAAAAATAATTGTGACAAAAAGTATCGAGCTCATATGGTTTCTGGATATACAGGTTTGTATAATTGTTTTTTTAAAACAAATTAATCCGCAATAATTAAATTGCTAACTAAGATTTAGAATTGCAACATTCTTTATTGGTTGTTTTAAGAACGTATAATAATGGACATGTAGTTTTTATTAGATAGTTCAATAAAAAATAACAAATTTGGGTAAAATAAGTATTATTTACTTTACTTAAATATTTTGACTCATTTAAAAAAAATTTATTTTGCCATTATTATTTGTACGAGGTAAATTTTTATTGAGTATATTATTAACAGGACCTTTAAATTTTTTATTAAATTTGCCTCCCCAAGGCTTCAGAGGGTCATTTCATTCGAGGAAAGTACACACTTTTTATAAGTTTGCAGAATCTTATCGTAAAGCCCTTTACAATATATATCAAAATTTTTAAATTTCTTTATATAACATTTATATAACGTTTATGGCCCATGGTTGATATTAAATCGTTTTCAATGAGCTTAAGTTAAGATAATGGATGTTCTCCGCTGCAATTTTTTACCACTAAACAAAGACACATGCGTAGTGCAATTGAAACACTTGGGAAAACAGTCATGAGCCTATGCTTACCAATAAACATGAACAACTGCAATTATCTACTTTTGCTTATACAAATTTTGTTTTTCGTTGACGTTGACACAGATTTTTCTGTATTAAACTGTTTGAACAAAATAATAAATTGAACAATTTCATCAGATAACTGAATTCCACTTTCGCTGATCAAAACTTTTCTTGATTTTAGATTTAAGTGACTTCATAGAACTATTTTATATAGCCGTGTTGATTTTTGTTTTTTTATAAATGGAATTTAATTTGGGGTATTTTAAAAAATATTCAAACTAATGTTTTGTTTAATAAATATACGCATTTTAAAATTTTATTTTATTAATTATAACTTGAAACAAGTTATACTGCAAACTGATGTCACGCCGCGGCCAGTTTAAAGCGAATAATTTCAAACAATAATATAGGTATATATTTTTGTTATAACATTTAGTTATAAACATTTTAAATCTTTTTAATACTTAAACTATTTTTCTAAATATTGGGTTGGTTAAAAAGTAATGAACATTTTGTTTAAAAACTCCTTAAAAGTTTTTTTTTATAAGGTTTCCATAAATAAACCGTGAACAGGTAATCATGTCAGATAAAATTATTGCACTGCAACTTTTTTATACTGCAAAAAACAGCCGGCGTTTTAAACCAAGAACTTTACTGTTTGTTTAATGTGTTTCAGTCTGGCTTATTCAGCAGCAAAAGGCGGACCCGAAGCTCTGTATAAAAGTTTGTTGCCGTTAAAGAATATTTACAATGCATACAGCATTAATGTCTGGAGCAAGAAAAAGTCACATTTAGCATTATCTCTAGACCCATTTAAATATTTTACATAGTTGTAACATACTAATACATTTTACATAATTGTAACATACAAATATCTCTCTCTATCTCTCTCTCTCTCTTTCTCTCTCTCTCAACTTTTTTCATATTTTTATTAGCTTAACTTATATATATATATACATATATATATATATATATATATATATATATATATATATATATATATATATATATATATATATATATATATATATATATATATATATATATATATATATATATTATTTTTTAATCTTTGGTAGAAAGAATTATTTGTGAAAGAATTATTTTTTTGCTAGTTTTTCACAGTTGCCATTTATATATAAATATATATATATATATATATATATATATATATATATATATATATATATATATATATATATATATATATATATATATATATATATATATATATATATATATATATATATATATATATATATATATAAATGGCAACTGTGAAAAACTAGCAAAAAAATAATTCTTTCACAAATAATTCTTTCTACCAAAGATTAAAAAATAAAAAAATATAAAATATAAAAATGAATGGAAAAAATAAATAATTAAGATTAACTAAAACCATACAATTGCTAAAACACTTAAGAAATATATAAACAAAAACTCTAAAATTAAAAAAAGAAAATTCACAAATAACATCATTACTAGATAGATTAAGAACTTATTGTAAGCTTCATTGCTCTAATTAAATCTATTTTTATTTATTTTTATTAACATTCAATTTTACTTCTAAAAGGGTTACCAATTTTTCTCTTTCAATATAAATGTTATTAATTAAATCGTTTATTTCAAAAACCAATTGAGTGAAATTTTCTTCAAAAATGATATTATTATAGATTGTGAATAGCCAACTTTTATGAAAAACTAGGTATTGATTTTATCCACATTCAGTGAAAATTTTTTATTTACGAACCATTCATTAGCTTGACATGACTATTTGTTAACTATTTTAAAAATATTTTAATATCTCTATCAAACAAAGTTAGGTCTAAAAGATTTGTTGCTAAATATAAGTCGTTTAAGTAAATTAGACATAAAAAAGATCTTTAAACCTTTTTTATTTCACTGATATGTGAAATAAAGAAGTTTAAACCGCATTAAATACAGTTGTTTCCGTGGCGTCCGCACTGGGTGACACCATCGCGATGTGACACAGAGGGGTGACACCAAAATGAATAACAAGCAATTATGCCTGAATAGTTTTTCTAAAGGACTCTTTTTTGTTTTTAATTTCTAGACATAAAGGACTTTTTTTTAGTTTTATCCTTCATTCTATTTGGAGTGTGTAGAACGGTGAGACCATAAGTTTACTGTTCTGGGTGACACCAACCTTGGCGACGTTTCTGAGTTATTTCTTCTTTTTTTTTTTTAAAGATATTTTATATACAATTATTGTTTATTTTTTGAAAATTTTAATAGACGTTTAGACGTCCAAAGAGTTATAGTTTTTTTTTCCTGAAACGCTGTTTCATATTGTTTGTAAAATTGATATAAGAACAAGTCATTTGTACTGTTTGCCTCATTTTATTGTAACACTAAATTCCAATTAATACTTAATAATTTGTGGTTTAATAGTTGTATTAAAAATTACATTAATTAGCCACCTAAAAATTGTGAATATAGAGGCAATTTTGTTAATTATAATGTTACTGGAAACTAAGAATGTCGGAAAAAAGAGCGACAAGTCAATCTGAAATATGTTTAATTTTAACTGCATAAAGACGACTGTTACAAAAGTTATTATTTTTGATGTTATCAAGAATAGTGGAAGAGCTATTTGTTACTTTTGCTGACTAGTTGATTATTGGGATAAATTTACAGTACTATTATTTGAAAAATAGTTGATCATGTTTATGTTGAAATCCCTAATATCAATAAAATGTGTTTTTTTCGAATTAGCAGTTTTGTTTAAAGATGAATTTTTAACTTTTTAAAATTACCTGATGGTGGTCAATAATTCGTATAGTGTATATATAAGTTAATAGAAATTTCATTACCTAAATTAGGTTATATTCCTAAAGGACAACATTATTTTGGAGAACGTTACGCACTCTTTAGTAGAAATGCAATACTGCATATGGAGGAAGAACGACAAAGAATTGATACAAGTTTAAATAATTTACACAACACGGTTAAATGTTCTACTCCCATGAAGCCAATTACCGATAAAAAAATGATGTATTTTCCAAAGGTTTTACAACATTCACTTTCACCATACACATTATCAAACAATGACCCAAGAAAACATATGATGTCTGGTTATACTGGATTTGTTCCAAGATCACGCGAAATTATTGGTATTTACAATAATTTATTTTTTGAAACATATATATTTATTTTTTATATTATTTTATACCAATGTATTTCCAAAAACATACAAATAATGCAAATAAAAAATATCAAAATATTATTTACTATAGTTGAAGTATAAAATATTTTATGTGTCTTTAATAAGAATTGTGTTACAAGATGTAACGTGATGTCAAAAGTGTAAAAGAGTGTTGATATCCCATTTTCTGAAGCAACTATTGATAACTACTTTGTTAGCTTCTATTACTCTAAAAAGAAATTGCAATTATAAGTATTTCTCACAGTCTGACGCCTGCGTTAGTTAATTTTAAAGTCTTGTGACGTAAGTAATTTTAAAGTCTTGTGACGTAATTTTTACAGCTTAGGATTAATAAGTTAAAATATTTTGTTAGCTTAACTTTTTTTATATTTTTATTAGCTTAACTTTTTTCATATTTTTATTAGCTTAACTTTTTTCATATTTTTATTAGCTTAACTTTTTTCATATTTTTATTAGCTTAACTTTTTTCATATTTTTATTAGCTTAACTTTTTTCATATTTTTATTAGCTTAACTTTTTTCATATTTTTATTAGCTTAACTTTTTTCATATTTTTATTAGCTTAACTTTTTTCATATTTTTATTAGCTTAACTTTTTTCATATTTTTATTAGCTTAACTTTTTTCATATTTTTATTAGCTTAACTTTTTTCATATTTTTATTAGCTTAACTTTTTTCATATTTTTATTAGCTTAACTTTTTTCATATTTTTATTAGCTTAACTTTTTTCATATTTTTATTAGCTTAACTTTTTTCATATTTTTATTAGCTTAACTTTTTTCATATTTTTATTAGCTTAACTTTTTTCATATAAATATATAGTGTATCTTAGTACATGTTGTTTAAATACACACACATACATTAATTATTTTCTCTAATTTGTTACTTACTGGATGTTTATAAAGTAGTTCATAAAAAATCTGCATATATAAAAAGGAATTTTCTTTTGTATGTATGTTCTTTATGCATTTCTTTACTATTCATCCAATCCTAACCAAATGTGACAATCCATATATAAACCGGCTTGCTCTGATCTGCCGAAGTTCATATATTTCGAAGTTCATATATTTCTGCTAACCTGATGGGTTAAGATTGTGGGTACATATCAGATACACATAAGATTGACATGAGTACACATAAAAATGTAGGTACATATATAGTTCTAAGTGAACTTGAGAATGAGGTTGACTATTGTAAAGTGGCTATAATTCAAAAAATGACAAACTACGCTTTTTATTCTTCAACAAAGCTAAAACAATCAAGTTTTCCATAAAACATAAAAGTCCATATTTTTACATTTTTTAATAAAAACAATCAACACCATTATTCATTCAGAAAAAGCATCCAGCAAAATGCCCTCTGTTTATTTATTTATTTTAATTTTTTTTTTACTTCTGTCATCAAACCTAAAACAATTCTTTTTAAATTTATTACTGAATATTTGTTTTGTGATTTGCCAAATGTGAAAATGAAACATATCTTAAACGTCTGTCTTTATATTACTTAAATAATCTGACAAAAATAACTTAACATAGCAAAAATAACAATTATAGTTGATTAATAACTCTGTAATTTATTTTAGTTATAAATTTTATTTTATAATTACTAGATAATTTATAAGATTATTAAAAATTTAAAAACTAAATAACTATTAACTAAACAAAACTTTCTAAACAATTTTTTAGTTACAGATTGAGCATGTGAAAATACAAAAGTTCACGATCACAATAAATAATGTTTGATGTTCTAAAGTTGAAACTCAATTTTCTTACAGGTTCCGGTTATCCAAAGATAACAAATCTTGCTTTGCGCCATTTTGCAAACCAATGTGCCACTAATAAGATTTTGTCCGAAATTGCATCAGAACCATTAAGTTTTGAGAAACCAATTCACGATTTTCAACGTGCCCGATCTGTTTACTTAAACAATTATGGCATGGTTCCACATTACACTGGACACATACCAGGTATACTACTTTTTGGATTTTTAATGATGACATAAAAGCCAGTAAAATAACATTTTTTTATAATATACATATCTAATCTGGGCGGTTAGGTGGAACTGTAAGATTTATAAAATTTTTTTAATATTTAAGATTTACTACACATTTCTCACCACAAAATAAGTTTGGTAATAATTTTAATTTCGATGCGATTTTTGTATGATCAAGTTTAGAATTATTTTAAAAGATATCAAATTACAAACTAAACGTTGAACATTTAACGTTTATTTGGAAGAATCATACAAAATTAAAATTATTTTTGTGTACAAATTAATTTTGTGTATAATTATACTAGTATTATTACTGTTATAATAATTATTATTGTTGCAATTACTATTTTTATTCATATTTTAATCATTTTTATTACTTTCAAAAATATTTGCTTATATGTAATATATCGTAATTTATCTAATGTTTCAGGAGAAAAATTTCGCTACGGTCACACTTTTGGTTTTAGTTCATCCAAAAAGTCATGTAAAGTTTGATTAAAAATGTAAAGTTATGTAAAGTTGAATAAATTGATTTAATATTCATGGTATTTAATCTAGTTTTCATGTGTATATAGAAATTTTATTGTATATATTTTAAATATGTTTTATATAAAATATTATGTTATTAATTTCTAGTAAAGTTAGTTAATGTATTTTTTTAATAAAAAAAATTGTTATTTTATTGTTTTTGCGATACTAACTGTATCAAACTAAAACAGGTGCTAATAAATAACTTGGTCCTTCGGACTTCATTACTAAAAATGTTTTTTAAGAACTTATTTTGATAAAGTTGTATTAAAATTTGGTTGTAATTAGACATTTGTATTTTGACACATTTGTTTTCGATCAATAAAAGAAAGTAGTCATTTTTCAAAGACATCTTGTATGAATCAATAAATGTTTTCTTAATTTTCTTTTTTTATGGAGAAAGTGCAACACTAATTTTAACCAAACCAGGTCTATCACTTGCGACTTCATTTCATCAACCAAGGTTTTCCAAAATTCTTTCTATTCAGGATTCTCTGTCATAAGGATAAACAAATCAGGCCATTCATTCAGTAATGTGTTGGCAAGTACATCAAAATTTTATGCATATTTCTTCGACCATCTGAGCATTTGACGTTATATACATAGCAATATTTTAATATAATATACAATCTGCAATATTTATGCAAATATTACTTGGAGTGGCACTAACAAAAGTCAACTTGAAGTTCTTTTCTGTTGATAGAAGCATGGATATGCTACATTCTTTTACTTGAAAAACCTTACGCTAATATTTATACCAAGCCTTTATAACTGAAATAAACAATACGAGTTTTGGAACAAGTCATTATTTCAATCAACTCAGCAAACCATAGCCTGCTTAGAAACGGCTGTTTATCTTATTTTAAGGCGATTTTTTTTTTAGAAACACAACATATAAAATACATAATACTGAAACATGCTGCTTACTCTTTAGCTAAATTGCTACAAAAATCTCTCTTAGTAAACCAAACGTATTAAAAAAATTAAGATTTAGTAAAAGACGTGTGTGAACATTTTTATTAAACCATGTGATCGAAAAAAAAAATAACAAAAATCACTTTTAAAATAAATTACTAATACATTAAAAAATATATAAACGATATTTTAATGAAGTAATGATGAAAGGGTAGAGTTAAGCTTTTTGGGAAAACTTTACTAAATTTAATAGATCTCATGAACGGTGTTTTAAATTTAATAGATCTCATGAACGGTGCGTCGCTTTTACAAAATTTTTCCAAAACTTAACTTTCTAAAAATCGGAAAAATATCTTTTGATGTTATTCAAGAAGATATTTTGTAATATAAATTATAAAATATGTTCTAAATTTTACCGAGCTGCTCAGTTCGTCCTAACGGTGTTAAGTTAAGAAATCAACAAACAAATAAAATTTATTTGTTGGTTTCTTAATAAGTAAATTTCGGTAGCGATTTTCAGATAAGGATTTGCGGGCAATTTAATACAATTGCGCCATTTATTTAGGCAATCGCAAAAATACTTTTTGCGGTTACAATTAGCAGCTAACTAATTAAAATGATGGTCTCTCTTTGCAAACCTCTATTCCGACGTTGAGCGTATAGGCAATAGGCAAATTGGGACATATAGGGATAGGCGCTTCACAGTATACATACTACGGTTAGCACGGATCCTTATAATGTCTACCTAGCTGTCCCAAGAACGCCACCAATACGGAAAGTTAGCGTAAACATCAAAGTAAAGTAGCCGTGGCGCAGTGGTAGCACACTTGCCTCAGAAACGTAAAATCCGTGGTTCAAACCCCACCTCTGGGCAAGTTTTGCGACATTGGTTGGGAAGGAGGGGTGAACTTCCTATTAAATGCTCTTCCGCGGTGCTCTGTGATAAGACCGTAAGGACTTCTTGGGGCACCTAAAATCAACATAAAAAAAAAAAAAAAAAGGTATCCTGTGATGCAAATTTTAAAATCATTTAATTTTTTTTTTAATTTATTTATTACAGTAATCAAAACAACTTCTTGATTAAATTGATGAAGGGAAGCACATCAGGCTTTCCTATGCTGACAATGGACATTGCTGCAGCCGAAGCAGCATTTTAAACGTGTTTTTTAAAAAATTGCACAGTGGGTGCATCAACTACATTCTGAGCTAATTTGTTCCATCGGTTAGTAACTCTGTTTATAAAGAAGTGCTGACGTTCTGAATTTCTTTTGATCAGTTGTGGTTTTAAACATCGGCTGTTTCTTCTCAGATTATATCGTGAAATTAACAAAAAAGGCTGGATTTGTGGTATATAAAATTTAACATCTTGTAACTGATGAGCAATTTTGTATTGCAGTATAGAATCACTGCGAATTTTTCGTTCTTCCAGCGTGGTTAGATCTAGCAGTTGTAGTCGTTTTTCGTAATTAAAATGTTTAATCGACGATTTTGTCCGCAGAAATCGACTTTGTCCGCGGAAATCGACGATTTTGTCCGCAGAAAAATAATTTAATTTGAATGTTCAAATTAAGTCACTCCCTCAACTTCTAAAACAAAACCCATAATTTCTAAAATAATTGCCTATATTTCTAAAACAAAAGGTCCTTGCAAAAAAAAAGTAGAGAAGGACATGACCCCCTAGCCTCCCCGGCGTTTACGGCCATGTATGCTTCCAAAAAAAAAGTTAAAAAAAGTGCAAAACCTGGTCAAAGGACTACCTGTTAGTAAAACAAAAAAAAAAGTAGATCTCCTAAAATATATTGTATTGACCTCCTTAAATACATTTACTTTTAAAATGAAGTGAAAACTATTTAAACCCTATTTTTTACATTGTATTACCATCAAATATCTAACTACATTTTAAGAAATGTTTTTTTGATTTTCTCCACCGAAAGATTATTAAAAAATAACTCAATGTACTCTTTTAATACAAATACTCTATAACACTCTATAACAAGATGGTGAAAATATTCATTATACGCCGTAAAATATAAATTTCAGCAGTTGATTTCTAATAACTCAAATGATGTTTTTTTAAGATGCTTACTGTTTAGATCAATTATGCAGCGCAACAATCTTTCTTTGTACTCTGGATGATTATTAATTTGATAAAAATCTTGATGAGAAGTTATGACAGTTTGTTCACTATAGGGCCCCAAGGGGGATCCTTTGTGACTGATGAAATCCTTGATGTGGTAGAAGACGGCATGATTTTTGGGTGTTACGCTTGCACCAGTTATCATTACGTAACACGTTTTGAAATTTTCAATTTTTTCTAGCAAAATCTAGCTGAAGGATGTATCCGAAGCAAGCCTTGACAACTAAATTGAAGCATTTGAATGCTTCAATTATGCACACAATATTGGGAACCATGTTTGTCTCAGCAAGTTGCTGCAGCATATCCACATTTTTAAGAAGCTTCCTGCATTCATTTCCCTCAAACTGGCCCCCGTAATACGGGCTCAGTTAAATGTGGAGGGCGGCTGGCCACTTAACAGCTTCTATCTAAGCAGTTTTGCATGCAGCCGTGGCGCAGTGGTAGCACACTTGCCTCAGAATCGTAAGATTCGTGATTCAAACCCCACCTCTGGGCAAGTTTTGCGACATCAGTTGGGAAGGAGGCGTGAACTTCCTATTAAATGCTCTTCCGCGGTGCTCTATGATAAGACCATAAGGACTTCTTGGGGCACCTTAATCAATTAAAAAAAAAAGTTTTAAGGATCTTGAGAAGATGGTTGACAACTTCTGAGAGGAGATGCAGTTCGATCAGTGGAATGATTTCAAAAATCAGAACACTGACAGGCCCGCAAATGATTGGCTTTTGAATGACATTGCAAACAGCTTTGCATTAGCAACAACCTCGCCAGATTGCTGAAAAGACTCAAGGCTTAAATTAATTGAGCCCAGTGTTCGCAAGTTTCCAGATTTGGCAAGAAAATTGGATTTGACGCTACACCAGGTGCAAGGGTGCGTACTTGAATGAGTTTGAAGACCACAAATTATATTTGCAACTTTCATATCACAAGTCCAAATTAGTTTTACTCCATTTGCATTAATCAGTGACCAGATTTGTTCAATATTGGAGTGTGTTTCTGGCAAATCTTCTGAAACCCTAACAATAATTTGTCACCAATTCATTTAAAGCCAATACAAGTCACGCTTTAAGTAGCAAATCACTATTTTGGTCTATAAAATGAAAACTGTACATGTACCGATAAAATAATTATAACAAAAATTATTGGTATTACATAGTAGAACACTCATGTAACCGTTATTTTAAAAATAGTGACCAAATTTCAAAGTAATCGGTAACGCTTTGAGGTATAAGTAGCAAAAAACTGACAAAACTTCAACTAAAACTGCAATAAATTGTACACCAGTTATTTAATCAGGCTAAAATTTTGTTCAGAGTTTGGTGTGACTATTGGCTACATTTGCACCAATTTTTATCAAACTATATTGAGTGGTTCAAATTCTACAAGTGTTTTTATTGGCGCACTATGATGTCAAAATTTGACTTAATTTGAACATTCAAATTAAATTATTTTCCGCGGACAAAATTAAATGATTTTAAAGTTTGTATCACAGGGTACCGTGATGTGTACGCTAACTTTCCGTATAAGTGGCGTTCTTGGGACAGCTAGGTAGGCATTATTAGGATCCGTGCTAACCGTGATACATCGACTGATTTATTTAGCCATAGGCACAGTGAGTATGCATACATCGACTGAGGGTTTCGGTTTGGGCAGGTTGTCTTAAACTAAAAGAATCATCTTTTTTTATCTTTTTTATATCGTTGTTCTCACACTATACCGTAGCTTTATAAAAAAACACTATTTGTTGCAAATAACGTCATTACCAAGTTACTAATTCAAAAAATTAATTACAGGAGTTTATTTTATTTATTATTTAAAAAATATATTTGTTTTAATAAATTTGATTAAAAGAAAGATGTCTGTGATGTTGCTTTTTTAATAGATGCCGATGTTTTTTACTTTGGAAGTTGAGAGTTCTTTTGTTTTTGGTTAATCA